CCGCATCTGGTTGATACGAGGTTGAGGCTTCAGGGGGGTCGTTAGGTGGTTGTGGGGGGTTGAACTGAGACATCGGTACACCGTATGCGTCATATACCATTTGTTGGTCCCACCTCATTTCAGCACGGTCTCCCCACGCACTCATCTCTGGAGGGACGTAACGAGACGAACCTACCGTTTGTGGTATATCAGATGGATCCAAAGGTTCGCTGTGAGAAGTCCAATTATAATAATTGGGAACAAAACCGACAGCGTACAAATCATACCCAACTTCGTGTGGGTCTTTAAATTTGAGATTTTTACACTTTGAACATGGACATCTTATTTTATCACCACTCATATAAGCCGGATGTTCAAGTGCAAATTCAATAAATTCTCCGACTCCCTCGAGAAAATTTGATTGCATTCCGTACAATACCGCATCTTTATCATACATCCAACTTCTATTTTGTTTATACATTATGCCTGAATATTATAATAAAAAATTATATGAAATGCAATGCACACAATTTGAAGTAATTTATTTCACTAAATAATCAACTAATTTTCACTAAATTAAATGAAATACACACAATTCACAACAATAATGCACAAAATATAAGTAATTACCTAATACTTAAATTTAACTAATATTATAAAAAATTTAAGTAATTTATTAACACTACATTTAAATTAAACATACGTTTAACTAAATTTAACTAATTCATTTAGTTAAATTTAACTAAATTTAACTAGTTCATTCCGTCCCTTTTAATGCATCACTACGTTTAAACCTACGTTTAGCTAACTAATTTAACTTAATTAACACATCACTAGCTACGTTCAAACCTACGTTTAGCTAACGGATTTTAATTAAATTATTTTTGTAAACCTACGTTTAAACCTACACTAAATTATTACGTTAATGACATTTAATCTTATTAGTAATACACAATTAACAATTCACTAAATTAAATAATATGACCAAATTCAACCCAATAATTTGAACATGTATATAAAGTCATTTGAATTAATAAACAATACACAATTCACAATAACAATTCACAATTCACTTAATTAACACATTATTAACGTACATTTAACTAACTAATTTCACTTAACATAAACATCATTACGATTTAAACTACAATTAGCTAACTAATTTTAATTAAATTATTTTATAAACCTAAAAGTTTAACTAATTTTAATTTATGACATTACTACGCTTATAGTTAAATATGTTGTTAATTAATTAACAACCTCACTAATTTAATAGTTTTAATAATTTAAATTGAACCAACTAATTCTAAATAAAAATAATAATTCAAATAACATACCTTATCTGCATAAACAGGGAAAATGATAGAAGATAGACTACATCCTTCGATCTTTCAAACAGATACTGTATATACTGGGAATGAATTGGTGTGGTTCTGTTGAATGAGCTGCTCCTGCATATATAAAAAATTTAATCACGGACTTAGTCACGGATTTGTCCGTCACTAAGCAAAACCGTGTCCATTACGCGTCCAACCCATGTTAATGACGTGTAAATGACGTGTTAATCAAAGTAGTCACGGAAATAGTCACGGACATGGCCGTGACTAAATTTATCCGTACATAATACCGTTGCGAATTAATTTATGGGAGGTGGAAAATTAAATTTTAACCATAGTCACGGCTTTAGTCACAGATGTGGCCGTGACTAAGTCGCCGGAGTAAAACAAGCCAGGCCGGAAAATCAAACGGGCCTATCGGAGGATTTTAGTCACGGACCACGACCGTGACTAAGTGTAGTCACGGTCATAGTCACGGTCCAAGCCGTGACTATTTTTTTTTAAATTTCCGTGACTAGTCCGTGACTAGTCCGTGACTAGTGTAGTCACGGACCAAATCCGTGACTACGGTCCGTGACTACGCGCGTGTTTTTTTGTAGTGACCATATTAACCTGAACAGAAAGATGAATCACTTTGTTCATCTGTTTCATTGTTCATAAGAATTCATACATTTATGTGATGGAACACGTAAAGGCTAACAAAAGCTAACTTCCCCACCGGGAACACCGACTCTTAGACTTTTTTTTTTTATTGATAAAGGGAAAATAGTACAATGCGAAAAAGGAAAGAGGAAATACATTACAAAAAACGGAAAAGTGAGAAAACTAGATACAAAGCTAGTCCCATGGGAAGTCTCTGGATTGAGATCTTGTGATCATGCTATGACGCCTTTTGTTCTTCTGATTTTTCCTGTAAATTTTTAGCTGCTTGTTCAGGTTATCAGTTGGCAGACAGTTTAACTAGATACACCAACTCTTAGACTATGTGTACTCATCTTGAATGCAAAGGCATGAGGGGGATATATTGCAGGTCTCATCGATCTTTACTGCCCATATATGTAGAGGCATGAAGCACGGATACTTCCCTAGGGTAGCGTATCGGCGTATCCGATACGTTCCCGTATCCGATACTCTAGGATACCCGTATCGTACGTTCCCGGGCCGTATCTGCAATTTTTAAAAGCTTCTATTTTTTTTTTTGTAATTTTTTGAAAGTTTCCGATACTCGTATCCTGACGGATACCCATATCAACTTTTTTTAAAAAAAAAAATCCCAAAATTTACTTAATAAAATTCTAAACAAAAATTAAAATCTAAAACAGTAAAACTACATTTTACTTGGTAATCAAATAATGGGCCTATATGGCTATATCCGAATTAAGTCATTAACTCATACTCCAAATTGGGTACTTGCACTTTTAATTTCAAGATTGTAGTTGTTTGACTTATTTCTCATTTTAAATTAATGACTCATTGACTACATTTATATTTCGAGATGCACTAGTGTATATGAGAAATATATTATGAATTTATTACTAAGTATCTTGAAAAATGAAAATGCTTCAATGCAATGAATAGGTAGACATCATAGGATATTATATGTATATATATTTTTTCAAAAAAAAACTATTTTTAATATTTATAAATAGACCCCTATGACTTTTAATATTTGTAGATACACCCCCATAACTTTTAATATTGATAAATTAAATATGGCCCCGTATCCGTATCCTACTTTTTTTGGTTTTGACGTATGCCCGTACCCGTTTCCACGTTTCCGCGTACCGGTATCGGTGCTACATAGATGTAGAGCTGTTTCGTCTCCGGGTCAATTTGTACGTATATATTTCGTATTTGTGGGAAAGCATGACTACTCTGGACTGTACATGTAATGAGCTTATTTATAAACTCCGTATGCTATTGAGGTCATATTCTAGAGTCTAGAGACATGGGAGCATTTGAGCATTTATTTCATGTTTGTATTGAAATTCCAAAGGCCATGAGTGGGTTAATTCCAAATGCAAAAAAGCATCTCAAAATATATTCTGACATTAATGCTACAACACAGTTGAAAACGGAGTATAAAATATGGAGTACTTCTTTTAATAAATCAGTCAGCAACATCTCGAGAGCAGCACAACTTAGGTATCTAGAAAGCCAAGGGTGCTCAATTAATTCACATACTTAAATATTTATTGAGACCTTGCCAGAGAATTCCATCAGACTAATACTTGGCAGCAACATTTGCTCTCTCGAGAAACACAATATGAAGAAGCTAGACAGTCTTTATTCACTTAATTAATGCGTTTATTGAAGGACTGCTCTCCATTTAATGCTACGGTTCTGGTACACTCCTCATATTGCAGCACATTATGAACTTACACCTTTTTTGAATTTTGAATTCGAATTCAACTTGCCGCCCAATTTCCCTCCCAAACTCCCCCACACTTTTCCATTTTAATATATATATATATATAGATATAGACTTATTGAGACCTTGCCAGAGAATTCCATCAGACTAATACTTGGCAGCAACCTTTGCTCTCTCGAGAAACACAATATGAAGAAGCTAGACAGTCTTTATTCACTTAATTAATGCGTTTATTGAAGGACTGCTCTCCATTTAATGCTACGGTTCTGGTACACTCCTCATATTGCAGCACATTATGAACTTACACCTTTTTTGAATTTTGAATTCGAATTCAACTTGCCGCCCAATTTCCCTCCCAAACTCCCCCACACTTTTCCATTTTAATATATATATAGATTTAGTCATACCCTGGAGTAAAACTTTTAGTGTAGTTTATGAATTTTTATACCTTCAAATTATCTTCTATTTATAATCTGTTTATAATTAAATTTAATAATCATTATTTAAAATAATAAAATCCCTTCCAAATTATTGTACTTCTCGATTTGTCCAGTATATTTTCTAGACCTGTTTTCATGAATATTACTATATTAAATTCAAAAGACAAAATTATGGTTATTTTAAAATTTTCCAAAAAATGACATATCCAGTGACTAGTTCCGAGTGACTCATCATCTATCATGATTCATGACTTGTCATACTGAAATACATTATAATGACTTTGGTTTAGTTAGAATGTTTTTACTTCGACTATAATCTTTTCCAGACCAGATTAGACCAGACCAGACCAAACCAGACCAGACTTGGATAGTTAAAAAAATACAAAGAAACCAGACCAGACCAGACCAGTTCAGACCAGACCTAACCAGCAAATTACAGTCCAAGTAAAAACATCCTCACTCGTACACAGCAACTAGTCATATTTTTGTTCAGAAACATAATCTATCATATTGTTGTCCAGTGGAGGACCTAGGGGGGCGTACCGGGGCATATGCCCCGGCTTCCGGCCAGGAATTTCACTACTAGTACTTGGGGTAAAATAGGTGCCCCTGCTTCCGACCAAAAATTTCACTACTACTACTTCGGGTAAAATTAGTGCCCCAACCCGTACAAAAAATTATTAATATTAGATAATCAAGATACTAAAATGTTACGATTATATAAATTAACACTTAATACACAATATTTAAATTTTAGTTGAATTAAAATAAAATATATAGAATTCTCAAAAAAGGAGAAAAAGTAGTCAAAGGGCCAACTAAAAGTGATCTAAAACAACTCATAAAATTTTAAGGCCCAAAAAACGTTACTCGTATTAGTATTATTTCAGCCCAAACTTTACATCCCTTCTAGCGCCAAAGCCATCTGCCCAATTCAGGCATTCCAGCAATTGACCGAACTCGCAAAGCTCGCTGCTCGCTGCATCTGCGCAATTCAAGCCAGGCCTCGCAGTCTCGCACCAACGCCAAGCGCCCTGCTGCCCTGCCGCGGTGCCTCCCACCGCGCCGACTACCTCGCCGCCCACCGTGCTCTGCGCCTCCGCCAGTCCGCCTCCGGACCTCCACGGCTCCACAGTCCGGTCAGTTTCTGATTTTCAGCTTTTCCGATTTGTTTAGTTTACTAATTATTGTGAATTTGTTGAATTGTTGCATTGTTGTTGTTATTTGCTGATTTGGGGATGGTTTGTTTACTTGAAATTTGATACTTCGGGGATTGTGAATTCGCTCTACTTAAGGATTAGGGTTCTAATTTGTAAGGTTTTTAGTTTAATTTTTAGACCTGATTGTATTTGCCTTTTTTTATTAGGGATATGAGTTTGGATAACTTTGTAATTCGGACCATAGATACAGGGATTACTAACATAGCCGCGTTTTCCGTTCCGGATCGCGCGTACCGGATCGCGGTACAGTTGCGTGCCTGTCGCTTCTGGTTCGCGACTCCGGTACGGCGGATTCCGGTTGCAGTTCGCGGTTGCCGTCCAGGTGGTACGCTGTTTCCGAGTTGTGGTTCGCACGTCCCCTCCAGCGTCCGACGAACATCAGTCCAAGAGTCGCGTCCGTGAACTGCTTTTTCCAAGCGACACCGGGTCGGTGACGAACTCGGTAGTCTCTCTTTGTCGTTTGCAGTTCAAAGATCGAAGCGATGGCTCACCGCTCACTCAAAGTCTGAAACGACTTTTTATTTCTTTAGATTTCACAGTTCGAACTTCAAAAAGCTAAACGAATTTAAGGACTGAAACGATGTTGCTTTTTCCAAGCCACACAATCTTTAAAGACTTCGTAGTTCACACTTCAAACCTTTGTATTTAATTATGGTACACAATTTCAAAAAAAAATTATGGTACACATAAGCAATTGATTAAAGATTTACTCATTGAAGTGAATTGTTTAATACTCCGTATTATATTAATTATATTTAATTAATTATATTTATACTTGGTAAATTGTACTGCACATATGTTTATGGCACATCGTACCATAACAAACGGTACAACGTTCCGCCTACCGAAATAGCGTACCAAAGAAGCCTACCCCCTCGCGCATCGGATTTCTAATATTCGCGATCCGCGTTCCCGTTTTCGTACCGCGTACCATAGCGTACTGCGATCCATGTGACTATGATTCGGACTAAAAGGTCTTTAACTCGAGGGGGATAGTTCTTCAAACGTTCCTAATCAGTCTATCTCAAGCGATGCAAATGTAGTTGCTCCGAATGTAAGCATTGTCCGAGATGAGTCTAATGACACCGGGGGAGACAAAAGAGACCGCACAGATAGTACGTGTGAGTGGGATATCATTAGCGATCCCGCATTACGAAAGCCAATCATTGAATATGAGCCTCGAGTAAGAGATGACGTGATGAGAGCGTATGTCGTTAAAGGTGCTTGTCTACCGTTGTCTCATAATTTTCCACGAACTTTATTTGGGAAAAAATGAGATGTTTTCGAGCAGAGTGGTTTATAAATTGGGAATGGTTGGAATATAGTATTTCTAAAAATGCTACATTTTGCTTTTGGTGTTACCTTTTTCATGGGGTAGAAGGGAAGAGATTTGGAGATGATGTATTTGTGAGGACCGGGTTTCGTAATTGGAAGAAAAGTCTTGAAACATTTAGATACCATGTAAAAGTTGTAAATGGGGCACACAATGATGCCAGAACACGTTTTTTTAATTTCAAGAATCAAAAGCAAAACATTTCAAGAAGTCTGGCTTCAGGAATACAAACATTGGGTGTTGCATATCGCACTTGTTTGAATGCAAGTGTGGATTGTGCTAGATTTTTAATTTCATAAGGGTTGGATTTTTGTGGGCATGATGAGAGAGAAACTTCACTGAATAGAGGAAATTTCTTGGAATTGCTTGATTGGTATAGTGCACGCAATGCCGATGTTGAGAAAGTGGTAAAAGATAATGCACCATCAAATCACCAACTAACTAGTCCTAAGATTCAAAAGGATATTATTAGTTCTTGTGCATCAGAGACAACAAGAGTCATACTTAGTGATGTTGGTGATAAAGTTTTTTCTTTGTTGATTGATGAAGCTCGTGATAATTCTGTGAAAGAGCAAATGGCAATTGTTGTTAGCTTTGTAAACGATACCGGAGTGGTTATAGAGCGATCCCTTGGAGTTAAACATGTTGTTGACACTACTGCACTTTCTTTGAAAAGTGGCATTGATGATTTTTTTTTGCAAAGCATGGATTATCTTTGTCCAAATGTTTATTTAAAACAATTATTGCTCACAAAAAATTTATAGGCTTGGGCATGTGCTTCAGTGAGAATCCTGTAGTGTATTACTCGTACTATATTTGCTTTTACGTCGAATTCGCCGTTAACTACTCCCTAAATCCATCGTTAGAGAAGGGGTTATTTGCCCTCTTTAAATGAAATAAAGAGATTTTGAATTAATTCCACTTTAGGTCCTCATAGTTTTGTGTCATTTCCATATTTAGTACTCGTCTTTCACTTTATCCATTTTTGGTACCTGACTATTGTTTTCTTGACCATTTGCGGTCTATCTCTGGGCATTTTAACTACCGGAAAAGGACTATATATAGTCAAGAAAACAATAGTCAGGTACCAAAAATGGATAAAGTGAAAGATGAGTACTAATTATGGAATTAGTGCAAAACTCGAAGGATAAGTGGAATTTCTTCGAGAGATTTTTGCCCCAAAACCCATTTTGCTCTATACTAAAATTACCAATATTTCTGAAAAAAAGGCACGTCTTTGAACCGTAGTAAGGTCATCTGTGATACTCGTACTAAAATTACTAATCTTTTCAGGATCTGCCCCTGCCTTTGCATCGTAAGATAATCTACCATCCTTGTCGCCCTACCCCAACCGATTTTTCACTGAAGCTACCGTCTCTATCTGGCTCACGCAATCGTCGATCAATCTTCAAGCAGCGCTGCTCGTACAGATCTCAATCAAATCAGACCCATCCTTGGTGATTTGGGTAGATTCAATCTTAAAAAACTCTTCTCCATTTAATTTCTTCCACCCAATCTGGACCTCAAAGAGAAACATCATTATTTCTCTTTTTCCGCATCATAGGTCTTGCGTGGAAGCAGATCCCAGAAATCTTTGATAGGTAATTTTCGTTTTCTTGTTCTCCCGATTTTTCTTTAGGCTTTGAATGGATTTGTTCTACTTGTGTTTCATGCTCCGTTTGTATCCTCCTCTTGATGGCTATGTATTTTCATTTGTGTTGTTGCATATGTGTGAGAGTGAAAAAGTACTCTGTATAGTTTTGTTTTAGCTACCTGGAGAAAAGTGGAAAATCTACATAAAGTTATTTGTAAATGAGAAAATGCATATTATTCTATTTATGGTGCATTTTTATGTAGATTTGTTCATAGCAGTACATAACATCACAAATTGTACTCCATATCTTTTATCCTGAATACAAAAGATTAATTTACAGAGATACTCCATTGAGTTTATTTAACATATGTTTTTGCCTAGTATATGCAATGCATGCTTTGTGTATCTAGAAGAAGTTAACCTAAGCCGTTAGAGAATATGTTCTGTTTTGCAACCTAAATTAGAAACTCTTATTAATATTGGAATATTGGAATTCTTCCACTTTCAAGATCAAATAAAGATTTGGAATTTTAATTGTAAGAGCATATTGATTTCCAAAATATTTAATAATGTTATTCTTAAAAATTGGTCACAACACTTATTTCTGATCTCTTGATACATAGTTATGTTTAAAGAATGAATTTCAGTGTCCATTGTCTATGACTATCATATAGGATTTCCACATCACTTGTCTACAAATCAATCACATTCATTTTTTTCTTTCTAATGAACTCTTAAAACTGACAGAGGATGAAACATTTTTTCTGATGTGATTCTAGAAAGAGTTCTATTCTTATTTTTTTGATAAGACAAGTTTGACATATGTAACCATATCGGTAGAATGTGATTTTAAATTTCATTTTTAGTAGTATGGGGGGTAAGTTTTTATGACGAGGTTAAAATTTAGTATTGTCTTTCTTTTTCATGTTAAAAAGCAAAAAGGTCAAACTAATTCGTTTATGAAGACTATGTTGTGAGCTTGTGATTTTATGTTGTAGCACCATGAGAAATCATGAGAAGTGTATTTGAACAGTGAGAATTTTCTTAGTCCTTTTTCTTGGCCATTATATGAAGTAGTTGTATGTTTCGCAAATCGTAGAACTTTGATCAGCTTAGGATTAAGAAGAAAAGTCAGTACAAACTTCTTGCATTAAAGTTATGTTCTCAAGAAATAAAGGAAGCAACCTTGTGAATGGTATAAAACTATTACAGTTGTACTAATCAAATGAGAAGTATGATGTTAGGAACCCGGGCCTAATAGACTAATAATAATAATAATAAGGGACCGGGCCTATTAGGGTGAACGCCTTCAATTTGCTGAGGCACTGATGCGGACTGTGGGGCGCAAGGCTTACACGAGGCGTTCGCCTCTAATTTTACGCAAGGTTGGGCCTTTTAAAAAAAATATTGGGGGCCTCGATTTTTTTCTCTCCTAAAATATAGAATACCTGGATGGTTTATTACTTAGCCACAACCTTAGGTTTTCCAAGTTCCAATCGCTGGTCTTTCACCCTACTACGATATTAAAAAATTAGAAACAACAACTTGAAGAAGAGCTGCTCGATTAGCCTGGTGTCTCATAGTCTCAGTCGAAGCTCGGTACAGAGACTTCAAGAGCTGCTTCGCCGGTTTGTCCAAGCAATTATAAAATATCCCACCCCCCAACTTCTATAATTTCTTGTGTTTATTATTTAACTTTTTTATTTTAACTTTTTAGTTATTTAAAGGTTTTGTTTTGAACTATCTAAAGCTATTTAACGTGATTAATGTATTTATCAAGCCTACTGTTTAATCCGTAAAGTTATCATATAAAGCTTTCATTTATCTTAATAATTTATTTTTTTAATACTACATACTTTACTAGTTTACTTGACTTAAGATTTACATTTTAATTGGAAATATTATAGTTAAGTTCATTACAGTTTGGTTTTATTTTTATATATATTAAAGTTGATTATCAATTATTTGTTTTTTTTGTCTTTGGAATTTAATGTTTTTTTATTTCATTTTTATGTTATTTTGACTTGAATATTTTTATTGTTATGTTCTTTTTACTTGTGATTTTGTTTATTTGTGTTATTGTTATGAATTATCTATACTATCTGATATGTTGTACGCTTTTAGACTGTTAATTTCGAGGCTTACGCCTCGTTACGCCTCGAGGCTTACGCCTCGTGAGGCTACCACCGAACGCCTCGGGGCTAGATTTCGCCTTTCAAAACCTTGATAAGTGTATTAGTTAGTATAAATAGAAGATAACAGGGAGGAGTGAGGAGGCTTTTGGGACTTTTAGTCTGGGACTGGGAAAGATTAGAGGATTCTTTTCTCTTCTCTTTTGGGAGGCTTCGGCCTAGGTTAGTGTACTGTTCATCTTCTTCAATAAAGAATTTCAGTTGATTTCTTGTTAAATTCCTGTTAATTGTTCTGGATAATTGGAGGATCCTATCATTGGTATCAGAGCGAGACGATCACTGGACGAGAAAGAATTGAACGAAGATGGAAGGTCGTATAACGCAGATAGGAAGAAAACTGGAGGAGCGAATGACTGAAATCGAGCGGAAATTTGACAGATATCAGAAGGAATCAAATGCGAAGTTTGAGGAATTAAGAGCGAAGATGAAGGCTGGCTTTGTGGAGATTAAAAAACAGAAGAAAGATCGATCGAGAAATAGATCACATCCCTCATCTGCATCGCACCGCACTTCTCACCATCCTCAGTCGAGAGAGACAACGAGTTCTGAAGAATCATACAAGCAAGGGTTTAGCATAAGACCGGGAGACCAATCGAGGAGTAGTAGGCATCATCCGCTATCGCATATGGAGTCGCAGACGAAATCGCGAACTTCTTCTCATAGTTCAAAATCGCGAACTTCTTCTCAGAATCCGTCACATAATCCTTCGCGTCGCTCATCGAGTACTGACAAGGTAAGATCGTCACCACCGTTCCCAAGATCGGAAGGGGAGTCGCGAACTGTTTCTTGTAACTTGCGGTCGCGAAAGGTTTCCAGCGGTTCGTATCAAGTCGCACCTTTGAGTTCGCAGGCAGATTCTTCCAGAACTATGGTTTTTACACGAGCAGAAGACTCCAGTTCGCAATTGCTATCTAAGTGACCAGAGTCGCAGAGGGAGTTGGTTAACCAGGAGCAAACGTACAAGGAAGATACAACCACCGATAGCGAAGAGGAAGGCAATGAGGAATCTTCAGTTAATCTGGGACTTGAAGCTGAGCCAATTATTCGTCCCCTCACTTGTCATAACCCTTCCAGTTTGAATAACGTGAGCAAAGGGTGGAACTCTTTTAGAGAAAATGAACTTCCTTCATCTGACAGGCAAGGATGGAACCAAGGAAGTGTGGCTGATGCACTTGGTGAAAGAACTGATTTCGTATTCACATCCGCAAGGTGTTGCTTGGTTTCTGTGCTGCTTCACACTAGCAAGGATTATGCAAAATTGAAGATAGTTTGGGTTTTTCGACTCTCTGTTTCAACAAATCGAGTAAAAATGGACTTTCCTTTGGAGGAACATGCAGTGGCAAAGAGAATTTGGTGGAATATTCTTAAGGGAGACATCTGGCTAAAAGACTCTTCCAAATGTTTGGCTAAGGATGAGGGTGGTTGTCAGTCATGCTGCCTAAAAGGCAAAGAAGAGATTGCAGAATTTCCCTCTGGCAGTTGTATATCCATAGTAGGAACAGCAGCAGATGCTCTAATTGCATGGAGTGAAGCAACTGAAACTCAAGGACTTGATTTATGTGCTGAAGCAAGAGCTACTAGCAAATGGAAGATTGAGCACAAGGTGATGAATGAAGATCAGTACCAGCAGGAACAGAACCACCTGAATAGTATGGATGCTTTGAAGAGAGAGGTTCTAGTGCTGTTTCTGCTAGAAGTGTATTGGAAACTCCTATTCACGCATGGAAACTCCTTGACCAACCTACAGTCATGTATTGGGAAGGGAGAGGAGCAAGGAAGAAGAGGAAGAAGCAGAAGATTGTGGCTTTCTCCTATTACCCACCTTGAGGACAAGGTGGATGTTTTGGGGGGAAGTATTGTTAGGAACCCGGGCCTAATAGACTAATAATAATAATAATAATAATAATAATAATAATAAGGGACCGGGCCTATTAGAGTATTAATAATAATAAGTGTATTAGTTAGTATAAATAGAAGATAGCAGGGAGGAGTGAGGAGGCTTTTGGGACTTTTAGTCTGGGACTGGGAAAGATTAGAGGATTCTTTTCTCTTCTCTTTTGGGAGGCTTCGGCCTAGGTTACTGTACTGTTCATCTTCTTCAATAAAGAATTTCAGTTGATTTCTTGTTAAATTCCTGTTAATTGTTCTGGATAATTGGAGGATCCTATCATATGAACAAAATTAAAATGAAGCTATACTTTCCCAAGTTATTCTAAATTTCGAGGATGAAAGTTTTATAAGGTGAGAGGGGTTATAACACCCCGATTTTGTGAGGTAGTTATATCAGTCATTTTTTTAGTTAGTTAAATAAGTTTATTTTATTAATAATGCGATCTATTGTTTTATCATGTATTATTATGGTAGATAACGTGGACCGGTGAGCTCTCTAGTAACTTTAAGTGAAGGAAGAATTAATGCTTTAAAGTCTAATCATTTTTTTTATTTAGAGAATATTTTAAGCTCAAGCAATTTTTTTTAAATCTAATTAGAGTCCCAGATTTATTTTCTTGGCCCAATTAAAATTGTAAGATAAGTATACGCATGTTATACATAAAAATAGATTTATTTTTAAATCTATATATATATATATATATATATATATCTTTGCTTATATAAGGGAAAATGTGCAAATAGGCCTATGTACTAACAAAAAAAGGTCAAATAAGCCCTTATTTAGGAGGCTCTGTCCTGACGTCGTCATGTGGGGTGGTTCCCGGTGGAATTTTTTGATGAAATTTTTTGAACATCTTATTCATCAAGTCTAGTTTACTCATACCGAATTTCAGCTAAAACTTCAAGTCTAGTTAGAAGCGCAGTTATCTTCAAGAATTCATTTGAATGCCTTCCCAATTGAAGTTTTAGTTGAAATTCGGTATGAGTAAACTAGACTTGATGAATAAGATGTTCAAAAAATTTCATCAAAAAATTCCACCGGGAACCACCCCACATGACGACGTCAGGACAGAGCCTCCTAAATAAGGGCTTATTTGACCTTTTTTGGTTAGTACATGGGCCTATTTGCACCTTTTCCCCTTATATAATAAGAGGCAACTAAAGTTACCATGGTTCTTTTGCCGTCCAATTTTTAATTTTTTCCGTCCATCGCTCCGACGGCCCCATTTATAACCAAATTAAAATGTATGTGTCTATTGATTGCAGCTATTCAACACCAAAATAGTTTCCCATACGGCCTAGTCCAGTACACTCATCTATATTCAGAAGTCCGGAACAAATCTCTTCCTCTGCATTTCTTCCTCCTTTGATCTGCTACCTTTCCATTCCTCAAAACAGGTAATCATTTTTATCCTTTGAATTGGTTCTTCTTGCAACCAAAATTTATACCAACTCGAATGAATCTGATATGTGTTAATTTTCTTGTTAAACTGGAAGTATATTACTTCCGATTCGAAACAATATTGTAATTGATATTTGTTGACGTAAAATGTATTGATATAACTAAATCCCCTACTGCCTCATGTTCACCTGCAATTTTAGATGCTGTCAAATACTTTTGCTTCACTTAAAAACTCATTTTGTAGGTGTCCATAAAGTGTTCGATAAATTGTATAGTAAATGGCTGTTTGTAATTCTATTTCTTTTATTTTGCTACTGCTGTATACAACATTTTCTTAAGTTATGCCTGCCTAATTCTTCACAAGGAATGCTTATTTCCTTCGCCGGATGTTAAAATTAGGAGTCTTACCTAACTATTGCATTTGTTTAAAAAATCAGTCATGAACTTACAATAAATATCCAATGAATAGACTTAGGGACCTTACACTTTTTCAGTTTTAAAAAAATCACTCTAAAATTACTTCTTGAAAAGAAGTCTCTTTTATAATCTTATATACTATCCTGATGTTTTTAATTGAATTACTATAGCTTTCCCAACTAAACTAAAGAAAGGAGAGAATTAAGGTCTCATTATTGATTACCAACAATCTTAAAGTAGCGTTTTACTGCAAAAACCAAAGCAAATAGAAAAGTTTGGTATTCTAAAGATTGCAATGTCTTTAATGGTTCAAATTTGGGAGTGCAGATGGTACAAGTGGAAAAACACATTGAGGAGGAAAAAAGTGAACAAACTACATTAAATGAGCCATATTAACTTTCTAAGTGCATGAAACAGATGAATGGTAGTAGAACAATAAAAAATATCACATGCCCTAATACCATTAGTTTAACATTTTACAACAAAAATATCAAATTGTTGAACCAAAGCTATCTTTATATACTGCTCTATCGGCAAAATACATGTATCTTTACATGAAATCACCCTCTTGTTACTTAACCAAGAGTAAGTATGTATAAGTCATGTATAATGTGTGATTATATCTTCTTAATTCTCTAATAGTAACAAACAAGGCTGCTACTAGAGGTATCTGGGTTCAATATTACGAAAAATAATGTAAGGTTGCCTCTTATGACTACCTTTAAGTTTAAAAACATGTGTTAGACCTGATGACTTTGCCTAAAACTTTAGAAACACAAAGGGGAAAATATACAATTAACGTGTCGTCATTTTCATTTTCATTTACCCCAGTGCCGCAAAGGCTCCCACCTATGGTGGGGTAAGGGGGGGGGTCGGATGTACGCAGTCTTACCCCTGTACAAAAGTACAGAGAGACTGTTTCCGGATGACCCACAGTGAAAATCGCGTCCAAAATTGCATGGACTGACTGCTGGTTCATAACAAAGAAGCGCAGGCAGTTTAGTGAGCCATTTTGCTTTATTCCATCAATTAACGTGTCGTATGTAGGGAAAATAATTTGTACAAACCTCTAAAAATTATTATTTTTATTACTTTTCATATTACGTTTAACTGTGTTTTATACTTAAGTTTCCCGGTTATTTCAAATATACTTTCTTATGTTGGGCCTTTGGCCTTTTAGAACTGGAAGAAACTGTTTAGTTTGAACTTTGAACTCACACAAAATAAAGACACTTGTTAGTCTTCATCTGTGTAAGGTAACATTGATCAAACTATTAAACACTCTCTCAAAAAATACAAAAACCATAAATAGTAAAGTCTTATATATTAGAAACTATCTTAAAGTAGTAGTGTTGTACCACAAATACCAATGCAAAGCCTGGCCTTCAGTTTTCAAAAGATTGCAATACTTTTAGTGATTCAAATTTCAAGTGCAGAATTTTACAGGTGGAAAGAAATTGAGAAGCTTGAAAAGGAAAAAAGTGAGAAACCTAGAGTAAAAAAACATAGTAAACTTACTTTGTGCTGAAACCAAACGAATGGCAGCAACCTAAAATATCACACACCTTATTACTGCTTGTTCAACATTTTGCAAAGAGAAAAACTCAATAGTTGTAATAGGTTATTAATAGCATTCTTTATGTACTGACTATCTTACTTGATGAAAGATAAGTTGTATTATATTAGCTACATAAGTTGGTGTGATTACTTCTTCATAATTTTTTACTACTATTAAATTGTGTTAGAGTTCAACCAAAACATACTTCTTTTCATTTTAAAAAGATGTCTGTTTTATTCTTTTATTTATTCTTTAAACAAGTTATAAAACAATTGATATACCACAACATTTTAGGAAAAATCTGTAGAGAAAATGAGAATGTAATTGTTTTTTAATTATATGTTGGGCATCAGTCGCACATAGTGCGTACTTTGCTAGTATATATATATATATATATATATATATATATATATATATATATATATATATATATATATATATATATATATATATTCAGCCCTAAAAATTTAAGCACTTAAATTTTTGAAATACACACGCTGTGTCTTTCTTTCTGTAGCAGCCAGCCCTCTTCTATCATTCTCCGAAAATACAGTCTCCCTAAATTCATAAATTCAAAGTTTCGCTCCAAGCTTCATATCATTATCTCAATCTGGTAAGCTTAACTCTACGTTCATTTATTAAGTATTTTCCATTGGGATTGTTGAAGCATGTATCAGTCGCCTACCTGTAGGTCTCGTTGCTAGGATCGTCAAATTTTCCAAGCACGATTTGATACTCTACCAGTTTTGCGGTTTAAGTTTACCGATTAAAATTGTTAAAAAACTTGGGTTTGCAGCTCTCTAATACAGATTTTCTTGATAGACTTGTTATAAATTTGAGTGCAGAAGAAATTCTGATTTTCAGTCCCAATAGTTCGTATTTTTTTTTAAGTCACCCTGGTTCCAGATAGTTTTGATAAGTGATAAACTGATGATGCTTTTCTTATGTTTTGGTTGGTAAAATTAACAGTAAGGTGCAAATAAGTGTGGGCAGAGAATTCCGTTTTTGCAAAATAAAGTTGACTTAGCTAATTGATTTGGTCCTTCTAGTTCTCTAGTAGATTGATTTTACCCCCAATATTTTATTCTTACAATTAAAATTCTTTTTTTTTTCAAATTCTTTTGCGAAGTGAATTGAACTGCGGTGGAGCAGTCCATAATTTAACTTTAAATCTCTCCCTGGTGCTAACATTCTGTCTATGAGAAATCATCGCTCTAGGGACCTGTATTTTTGTTAGTATCTAGCAAAAAGACCATTTAATTGAGCGTTTGGTCGGCATCTATCAGAAGAAAAGAAAAGCAGTTCATATGCATTGTAGCACATAACATCCATTTGCACATTTTCGTCTTAACAATAAAACCAGGATAGCCAAGCCACACTTAGCTTACCATTGCTCATTTGGTCAATGACCACATAATCCATTCTTCTTTAGACTTGCACTTTTAGTGACAAAGATAAAAAAAATGTTGGCATTCCACAAAACATCGTGTGTAGGCTCATTGGCATTTTTTTTTTGCATAATGATAATTCATTATGATAATTCATTATGATGAAACATCGTGTGTACGCTTCTTTGTTATGAAGTAGTAGTTAGTCCATGCAATTTTTGACGTGATTTTCATAATGGAAATAGTCTCTTCCTGCTTTAGAACAGGGATAATGTTTTTGTTGTAATGAGAGTCATTATCTTTTGAAAGATTTTTATATCTTGTGAGTCGAAAGGTCATACATAAGAAGCATTAGAAAAATCATTAAAAAAACCATACTGGTTATAATCACATACATCTTATATGGATAATCCTTTCTCGTTCCTACCTAATGAAGCCTTGCGCATCATGCTCATCATGTATTCTACAGCTCACGAAAATGGAGCAGGCAGGATATTTTGTTTATGGGATTAAAATTTAATAAAATTGGGGTGATGAATGATGGACAGGCGTGAAAAACCCAACACTAAACAGCCATTTATAAAGGTGTATTGGAGGATTAAGTTTAAGCTATACATTTAAATAGAAGTTCAGATATAGAAATTATGCACGGGAATCATATAGCGATTTGGTTTTCATTAATTTTGGCATCCATCAGGCAAAGCAAGTTTGCTGAAAAATCTTTCCTCCATAAAAAGAAAGATTCTCCTTGATGGTTTGGGCTTTGGATGAAGGTTTCCGCATGTGCATCGAAATGTTTTAATAATAGAGAATCATCAAACACTGTTTCTTGTGAAACTGTTAATGACTGTCAACTTTAACACTGTTTGATAGAGTTCTTTAGTAAAAAGTATTTTTTACAATGTTCGGGCGTGCACCATAATAAGATAGAGATATTTAGGCGGGAACACTATTCCAAAAACATTTTCCTTTTATATAATGATGATGATAGATTTCTAGATTGATTGTCTTTTTTGGTCTAACAAATTATAGGATTATCATATTATTGTGTATGCTTTTATTTCTGTCGTGTATTTAATTAATTAACAACTTATAAAAAGATCGACAATTAGTTGTTTTAATAACTATTGTATGGATAATATGTTACACTAATACTGCGTATTAAGAATGTAACTTATATTTTTAAAAATAAGCATGACATTATACTACCTCCTCCGTCCCTAAAAACTTTGCAATCTCGTAAAGTTAGGACTATGATTTTGATTAGTACCACCTATGTCCCATTTTATGTGTCTTCTTTTGGTTTGACACAATTATTAATATAGTGGTTGAAAAATAAAAGTTGTGGTTAAGATTTGAGAATAATAAAGTGAAATGATGTGGACCACATATTTCTTTCCAAAAAAAGAAATGTGACACTTATTTAGGACAACCGAAAAGGAAAATAGGACAAATAAAATGGAACTGATGTAGTATAATATTATGGAAGTTACAAATTTTATACTTTTATGAAAGTACTTTTGACAAAGAACATTTTCATATCATTTTAATATTATAAATAATTTCCAATAAAAATATATAGTTGGTCATCCTACCCCCTTACCACACCGCAGGTGGGAGCCTTCGCGACACTGGGGTAATGATGATGATGACGATGACGTCAAAGTGTTAAAGATGAAGAAGTATTTGGAGACGGAGGTAGTATCAAAGAAGACCAAACCAGTCTAGACCAATTCAGTCTCAACTAGACCTGACAATTTCTGCCTAATAAAAAAGAGTAAAGTCTTGACATGTTAGTTCAACTACGAGAGGAACTAAATTTGGTTGATTTTGAATAGATAACATTAGACATGGTGCTTAGTTGTGTGCGAGAAGTAGTAGAAATCTCTTGTTTGTTTAATAGTCTAAGAAAAAAATTGGATGTGTACTGCTAGTACTTTATCTTAATTGTTTTTAATGACAGTAATGGCCGGGCAAAACCAGCGCTTAAATGTGGTCCCTACTGTGACAGTGCTTGGCGTGGTCAAAGCTCGCCTTGTTGGGGCCACGAGAGGCCATGCCTTGCTCAAGAAAAAAAGTGACGCTCTCACTGTGAAGTTTAGACAGATCCTAAAGAAAATCGTTTCCACTAAAGAATCAATGGGAGAGATCATGAAAACTTCTGCCTTTGCTCTGACAGAGGCCAAATACTCAGCCGGCAACAACATCAAACACACTGTTCTAGAAAATGTGGGGACCGCAACTCTCAAGGTGCGTTCCCGTCAAGAAAATATAGCTGGTGTCAAGCTCCCTAAGTTTGAGCATTTCTCCGAAGCAGGAGAGACAAAGAATGACTTGACAGGGTTAGCTAGGGGCGGGCAACAGGTCCAAGCCTGCCGTGTTGCCTATGTCAAAGCAATCGAGTTGCTTGTTGAGCTGGCGTCCTTGCAAACATCGTTTCTCACACTTGATGAGGCAATCAAGACCACAAACCGGAGGGTCAATGCGCTTGAGAACGTTGTGAAGCCGAGGCTGGAGAACACGGTTAACTACATCAAGGGAGAGCTTGATGAGTTGGAAAGAGAGGACTTCTTTAGGTTGAAGAAGATACAAGGGTTCAAGAAGAGAGAGATTGAGAAACAGATGGCCGCCGCTAGACAGTTTGCTGGGGAGAAGGCCGCTGAGGATTTGTCTTTGAGAAAAGGCGTTTCGCTTGGCGCTGCACATAACTTGTTGTTGACCCCACAGCATGATGAGGATATCATTTTCTGAGGTGGATGGTATATATATAGAGACATTGTTGATGGACAAATCTCATCTGCTGAATAAGACAGACCTATCTGCAGGCCGGCTTTTATTCTTTGAACCATTTGGATACAACTTCATATGTTTATTATTATGTGAACATGAATGCCGATCCCAAAATCTTTTGGCAATAAGGCTTGTATGTTGTTATGGTTGAATGTCAACTTTTATTTCTGCGGTATGGATGAATTACTTTGTAGTTTGTACTCTTGATTAATATGAATGTATTTTGTGCATTTTGTTTCTTTTCCCAGCAGTTCCAACTGATGTGAGCTTAATATTATATATATATATATATATATATATATATATATATATATATATATATATATATATATATATAGGAAATCTTTCCGGTAAGGTATACCTTACCGGAGCCGCCGTGCAGCCTCCTCGTTTTGAAGGTCTTCCCGGTGGAATTTTTCGATGAAATTTTTTGAGCATGTTCGTCATCAAGTCTAGTACATCCATACCAAATTTCAGCAAAAAATTCAATCGGGAAGGCAGCCAAACGATTTTTGGAAGATAACTGCGTTTTATATGTATATAAAGGGTGCAGTTATCTTCCAAAAATCATTTGGCTGCCTTCCCGATTGAATTTTTTATTGAAATTTGGTATGGATGTACTAGACTTGATGAAGAACATGCTCAAAAACTTTCATCAAAAAATTCCACCGGAAAGGCCCTCAAAACGTGGAGGCCGCACGGAGGCTTCGGTAAGGTATACCTTACCGGAAGAGTTCCCATATATATATATATATATATATATATATATATATAGAATAAAGATCAAATGAGAACGGTGCTTAACGTGAGAACCCGTGAGAACCCCTGAGAATGGTGATATTTTTGGCTGAAATTTTTTGTGTATGTTCCTCATCAAATCTAGTTCATCCATACCAAATTTGAACAAAAAATTCAATCAGGAAGGTCGTCAAATGATTTTTGAAAGAAAACTGGTCCGGAACATACATATAAAACACAATTTTCTTTCAAAAAATCATTTGACGACCTTCCCAATTGAATTTTTTGCTCAAATTTGGTATGGATGAACTATAATTGATGAGGAACATACACAAAAAATTTCAGCTAAAAATACCACCAGTTCTAAGGGTTCTCATGAGTTCTCATTTTAAGAGGGGTTCTCACTAGAACCTTCCCCTATATATATATATATATATATATATAAATATATATATAATAATATGTGAAATCTTATTCTTCCAAGTAGGAAAAAGATGCTGTTTAGACTTTAGATCTTCAAAGTTTCAACAAAAGCTAAGGATCAACACTTCTCTAGTTCTACACTTCTACCCTCGGAAAAAATACAGACCTAATAAAATAGTTCGTGATACTATTGTTTTAATAAAAAATAATTTTAAATAATACCAACTAGAAATAATTTTTGAGTAATATGAATCATTTGAATAAATTGATATGAAGCCTTTTTCCAACTACAAATTGAATAGCATACCACATAAAAATGATATGAAAAAGTCAAATTAAAGTTATCTTGAAATAAAGTGACACTTAATTGACATTTTATATAGTTTTTTATGAGTAAAATGAATGAATTTCTAGTGAAAAAGTATTTATGTATCAATTTTTTTTATATAAATTCAAGCTATTTTCAAAGGACATATTATTATTATTGTTTTACGAGTGATAGTTGATATTATTACAAGTATTTCTCATTCTCTTGATCATCCCTTCTCTTCCTTCTCCCTCTATTAGTCATTTCTTCTTCTTTAGTTTCTGCCATTACTGTCTTTATTCATTGAAATTCGGAGTAGTAGTAAACTAGTAATGGAGAATGGATAATGGATAATGAGTGAGTGAGAGGTGAAAATATTGGATCATTTAGGTTTGTCACGAGGAACAATGGTGGAATAAATAATGAAAAAGTTATTGACAATATTTAGTAATTTAAATGGGAGGACTATGTTTGGGCAATAGTTAAAAATAAATTATAGACAATGATCGAAAAAGATGGACATTATGGAGTTATGCAAATGGCCAAGACGAGTGAATCTACTCTGGTAGGCCATGAGACAAATGGCGATGTGACTGACAACGAATGCGGCAAATTTGAGCGTAATATTTTTTTCAAGTTTTGGATTATTTAGGGCAGGGAAGGGCATTTGAGTATGTGAATTATACTTATGTCTCTAATCATACTCCCTCCTCTTAAATTTTTTTTCTTCTTTGAACTTTTTGGCTAATGAAGTTAATCTTTGCCCAATTATATACTACTATCAGGGGCGGCCCTAGGGGGGTGCAAGTGGGGCGGGCGCCCTAGACCCAAAAAAATATGGGTAAAAAATAGGCCCAAGTTTAGTTCTTTGTAACAGATGTGAGTAGGCTGATTTATGCGGCCCTAAAGTAACAATTTTTCGAGTGGAATTTGTTGAAGTTCTTCTGAATGTTTTCTATGAAGTTTAGAATATGTGAGAAAAAATCAGTTTAAAATAATTTAGAAGTCACTTAAATAAATTATTGAAAACACTGCTTTTTATACATATTTTGGCGCATTGTGTTTCAATAATTTATTTAACTGACTTCACGATTGCATTTTAAGCTGAAATTTTATGGACATAATCTACACGAGATGAAAAACATTCTCTTAAAATTTCATAAAGAAATTTCACTCGAAAGCAGATTAGTCGGATATGATTATTTGATTAGTTTATTAATTGATCCATTCATGGTTGTTTGATTTCTTAATTGTTGATTGTTTTTTATTGAGTGTTGATATTATAACTTGTTGATTTTGTTAGACAACCATTTTCAATTATGATAAAATTATAAACTTAATTAATTTCAAAGTGTAGTAAAAAGGATTGAATCTTAATTATGATAATATTTTCTAAATATATGCGCATTTGGCTAAAATTAGATGATTAATCATATTCACATAACAGTAAGAAAATCATTTTTTTTTTTTGAATATGTAAGAAAATCATATTGACATGCACAATTTTCGGAATTAAACAACTCAATGTATAAAAACAAGCAAATATGACCCACTCAGACACACAATATTGAAAGTCTGAAAGCATGCTTGCTGGCTTTAAGGAGTGTAACAAACTTGCAAACAAGTAGGGGGTCGGTAAGAGAGAGAGACAGAGATTACAGCTGGTACGTACTCCGATTCAATTCGATCCCGGCCGGCCGGAGGAAGAATGATGATGCCGAGGACGCGGCAGGTTATGATGACGGCGGCGGCGCTGCTGATGCTGATACACGGCGACATAAAAGGGGCGGCGGTGGAGGCGCTGAGAATCGACGTGAGGTCGGGATCGTCGAAGTGCATCAGAGAGGAGATGCAGGTGAATACCATGACCATCGGAAAGTACTCCATCATCAACCCTATCATCGATCTCCCCGTCCCCAAATCCCACAAGATCACCGTCCGGGTTAGTTTAATTTAATTGCCTCCTCCTCCATTCATTATATTAACAAGGGATGGAAATGTTAATGATCAAACTTCTACATTCATGAAGAGTGAATTTTTGTAATTAAAAAAAAAAACGATTTTATTTTTATTGTTGTTTTTATTAAGATTATTATTATTATTATTATTATTATTAGGAAGATTCACTCTTTTTAGTCCCGTAATTTTGTCTTAACAAGTACTCCCTGCATCACATTAAGATTGTCATTTGATTCGGCTCGCTAAAATTGTTTCATACCAAATTTGATAAATTTTGTGTGATTCTAAAACGTTCTTCTTTTATTTTTACTTTATTAATTCAATATCAATCGCACAAACTCACCTTTCTCAACAATCGTGTTACCTCTTCATGTCGCAATGTTACTGTCACGGAGATACTAAATTTGTCCATCTTAAAATACATTTTCCATTTGAAGGTACATTTTACGCCAACAAAAAGTCTAATTTTTTTCGGCCTCACCTTTTCAGCTAGAAAATTCTTAATATAGATAAATTCATAAGTTTAGATTACATAATGAAGTAAGTCACTTATTGACAATAGTTAATACTTCCTCCATTCTTAAATAAGTGCCACGGTCAATATTTCACATTTGCCGAAGCACAACTTTGGCCATTAATATATATTACTCTTTATAAGTAAAAAAATTAAAAAAATTAAATTTTGAAAATATACAATGAGACAAATTTAGTAATATTTTTTACAAAAAAATATATAAATACAATAAAATGTAGTCAAAGTAGAACATGTGCATAGTGTAAAATTTTGTATGTTGCATTTATTTAAGAACGGAGGTAGTACGTGCTATTGACTCGTGAACTTGTTGGCCTTAGCGGTCTTTTAGTTTGTATTTGTACACGCGATTGGTGTGAATCAACTTAATACTCTGTCTCCGTGTGGCTCAAGATGCGCCCACAAGATGTGGCTCATTGAGCCGATAAATCTTGTAATATGTGTCACTATATGTTCATTTTTTTTAGGTTTAGTATGATCTAATGGCACAATTTGCATGTTGTAACTTAATATTTGTATTTTTATTCACGGGTGTGTAACAATTGTGTAAAAAATATTGTATAATGCAGGTGACTTCACCGTTGGGGCAATATTATCACTATGCGGTAGATACAGATCACGGTAATTTTGCATTTACAGCAGCAGAGAAGGGCGAGTACAAGATTTGTTTCTGGGCAGCTGAGCACATTCCTCCTACCACCATTTCCATCGGCTTCGAATGGAAGTCCGGTTATGCCACCATTGATTGGTCCAAAATCGCCAAGAAACGCCAGATACAAGTAACTGATTATCTTCATAATCCTCCCGTTTCTAAATCAAAATCACGCTTTTTTTGGATGTTTCAAAACAAAACCAGTTTCCTTATTTGGCAAAGAAATTCATATCAAAACAGAACAATTGTACAAAACAATGCAAAACAGTGTCAAATAATGTCAAAACAGTGTACTCTACAGTAAAATTACCTCTCAGTAACTTTAATTTTTTAATAAGTGTGAAATAAAAGTGTGACTTTGGTTTAATTAGAAACGGAGGGAGTAACTTTATTTTCTTAATAAGTTTTTTTATTTATAAAAACTGCTTATTCTTACGAGTGCTTTGACTACCACAAAGGCACAAACAATAAACATGTCTTCTATAATTTGAATTTTGGTTTACAGGGAGTGGAATTCGAGCTAAGAAAAATGTTCGATACAGTACTAACCATTCACGATGAGATGTACTATCTTCGATCAAGGCAAGATCTTCAACCCTTTCTTTTTTAAATATTACAACCGTTAGACTTTGACATTTAATAGTACATGATTGTTATTATTATATTTAATTAATTGTGCATTATTGCATTAACACAAAATATGAAAAGTTAATATTGAACAAAACCTCTAGCAGTTGAAACTTCGTATTAAAGTTTATATATATATATATATATATATATATGCAATATTGGTATTATACAAAACGTCATAAAAAGTTACTTCCTCCGTTCTTAAATAAATGCAACAGTCAACATTTCACACTTGTCGAGACACAACTTTGACCATTAATATAAATGATTTTGTATTAGTAAAAAAATTTAAAAAATCAGATTATGAAAATTTACAATGAGACAAGTTTAACAATATTTTTTTCATAAAATAATATTATTACATTAATAAATAAAACGTAGTCAAAGTAGAACATGTGAATAGTGTAAAAGTCAAAGTGTTGCATTTATTTAAGAACGGAGGTAGTATGAATTTTGTAAAAATTGAAGAACAAATTAAAAAGTTATAAAAGAAAATTAGGATTTTGATTTTTCCAATGTCCCAACGTTTTTGTTTCCTCATGCCCAGCGGCCCCATCGGGCTGCTGCAAGCTTCTCCTCTCTCTTCCGTGAATAAGGTTGTGGAATCCCACCCTAAGGCTAACCGCAACCCAGTCCGTCAATAAATTAAATTTCCTACCAGTTTATACGTATTCACTCAATCAATTCAGTTTTTCTCTGCAACCCAACACCGTCAATATATCCACTCAGACATGTTGTTTTTAATTAAATCTATAAATCCTTATTTTCTTTTATTAAACATCATTTATGTTATATTTTTTTTACCAATAATTATTATTTAAAATATCAAACCTTCCGATGTAAAAATAAAAAAATGTGAATTAATTTTTGTTTGTAAGTATAAAAATGCCCATTGATTTAATCTGAAATAAAGTTAAAACTATTAATTGTTTTCTTTTGCTACGTAATTTTTTTGTATTAAAAATACCCACTTATTTATGGGTAATTGAAATGACCACTTTTTTTATCATAATTAAAATGACCACTCTTTTTAATCGTAATTAAAATGACCACTCGAAAAATCAAACTATTAATTTGAATTTAAAAATGGCCACTATTAATTGTTTTCCCAGCTACACTCGCAAATTTCACCCACAACCGCAAGGAAGCCGCGAACGTCCACGCAGCAACGTCATCCATTCCTTCCCTCCAGTCGCGTCGCAGTTGCTGAGGGACCACGCAGCATGTCACCTCCAGCTTAGAGTCAATTGGCCGCTCAGATTTCCCTCCCATCGGTTCTCCATATTACGTGTGAGACCTTTGTATACGTTTTTTACTCCGCGTTGCAGATGCTTTGGGAGTGAAAAGCTCATATTTGGGGTTTTCACCCCTTCCATTGCAATCAGCCTAAGGATGCTGATCCCACTTTGACACCCTTAAATACTTGTGTTACGGCTGTTTTGGGGGTGAAAATCTAAAAATGAATTTTCTCATCTCAGGGTTGCAGTCAACCTAATTATATAAGAAGTATATTACCCCAACATGTCACTTTACACCTTATTTTATTTTCACTTTTCAATTTCACTGTGGAGCATATTACCAAATAACAATGAAAGTAGGGGCATATTTAGAATAGGGCAATATTAGGCATAGACAATCCCAGATTTAAAAAATGCTTTAAATTTAGGTGTAAAAAGTACTACGTAAGTATTTTTTTTAAATTTGATTTGTACTAGCCCAGCCGAGATAACCTCCGCTATGCTACAGTTCAAAAGTTTACATTGTATATGCAGTATGCCATGATTTGATTAGCTTAATATTCATTAGAAAAAATTAATGACATAGGAGTAAAAATGTTTAGAAATTTCAAAATAGGAGTGTTATGTTTTTTTTCCTAAATAGGAGTACATTAACGTTACTGTCGTCCTAAAATTTTACTTCAATGTTTCTGGCGTTACCGGGCTTTGAACAATTAAACATGCTAGTTTAGAATGCAAACGTTTTTACCGGGCTACTATTTAATTTGTAGAATACAAATATAACAATCTTATTTTAGAATTTTCAAACGTTTTTACTCATATTTTAGACAATTTCTTTATTTAATCTAACTGGTACCATGGTGTGCAGGGGAGAAGAAATGCAAGCACTGACGAAGGCAACGAACACGAAGATGGCAACCTTCAGTTTTCTGTCTCTTTTGGTCTGCATGTCCGTCTCTGCTCTCCAAATGTGGCATCTCAAGAAATTCTTTGAGCAAAAGAAGCTTGTTTGATCTTTTTTTCTTGCATATAGCACTTACAGTTGTAGCTATTGGTAAAACTGGGAGAGTATCCAATTCTTCCAGTGTTATATTTTTGGTTAGACCCCTTAAAGGAGAACGGAATTGTACAATTTTGAAGGTGCCCATGGTTAATCACATGGATAGAACAATGTTCCCATATGGCTGAATTTCTACCGATATTTTGCGAGCTGATTCCACTGTAGAATTGGTTTCATAACTATCATTTGACTTTACCTACTGAAAGTAAGTTTTTACGCGATAACATTTGTAAACTGCTCCACATTTGGTTTATGAACATGCACACCCTCACGTAGGGGAGGACTAGGTCCGGGCGGCACGAGCCGGGTCCGGTATTGTTTGGTACTGGCCCGGGCCCGATTTTCAGGTACACGGGCTGTGGTTGAATAGGAGGCGGGCTTCGGCTTGAATTTTGGGGCCCGGTCCGGGCCAAACAGCTAGATTTTTTTTTTAAAAAAAAATACGGAGTAATGAATGCCAGGTACAGGCCCGAGACCGGTAAGGTTTAGACCCGGACGGGTACCGGACCGAACCGGGTTGGTACTAGGCTTTAATTATGGGAAAAGGTGCAAATAGGCCCATGTACTAACCAAAAAAGGTCAAATAAGCCCTTATTTAGGAAGTTCTGTCCGGACGTCGTCATTTGGGGTGATTCCCAGTGGAATTTTTTGATGAAATTTTTTGAGCATCTTATTCATTAAGTCTAGTTTATTCATACCAAATTTCAGCTAAAACTTCAATCTGGAAGGCATTCAAATGAATTCTTGAAATTAACTGCGCAGTTAGAAGCACAGTTATCTTCAAGAATTCATTTGAATGCCTTCCCGTTTGAAGGTTTAGCTGAAATTTAGTATGAGCAAACTAGACTTGATGAATAAGATGCTCAAAAAATTTCATCAAAAAAATCCACCGGGAACCACTCCAAATGGCGACGGCTGGACAAAGCCTCCTAAATAAGGGCTTATTTGACCTTTTTTTGTTAGTACATGGGCCTATTTGCATCTTTTCCCTTTAATTATTAACAACCGGGACCGGTCCTGACCCGGACTGGCCCAGTTCCACCCCTACCCTCACCCTCAATTACATTTCTAGTTTGAAATAAGTTTTCAAGTATAATAAACTTAAGCAATAACAAATCAATGTAATATTATGACTGAGTAATATCTGGTACCAATTCTTCTGCCATTTGATTTTTCACTTGGTACAAATTTCAGTTGAAGTCTTTAAATTTTTAAATATTTGAACCTTTAAATCTTCAAAATATATTTAAATATTTCAATCTTCAGTTTCTCGAATGACAATAATATATATCACCTTGAAATGGCTTAACCGTATAGCAGCTTGATCTTCAATAACTAGAGGTTTAGATCTTCAAACGATTTAAGTGTTATTTAATAGGGAAATTTACCAATGTATGACCAAAACATGGTGAGATAAGAGATTCCCTATACATGACTAGTAATGTGAAAGTCATCTGGCATATGAATTCTTACGGGACAGGAGAAAAAAACAGAACATACCACTTATTACATCAAAATCTATGTTGTAAGACCCGAACCGGACCAGCCGGTTCGACCCGGAAACCGGTCACCCGGCCTTATATTCGGTCCGGTTGAGCATCAACCCGTAAATCAGCCCAAAACCGGAATTACCCATCGACCCGCCAAAACTCGGGACGGACCTGACTCGGCCCAAAACCAGAAAATGCCAAAAATCCGGAAAATTGGTCGTCAGGAGGAGTCAAACCTGCGCCCAATGCTTCTAACACAGACCTGCGGACCAACGAGCTACACTAGCTTGTTGATATTTTTGGTGCATTAGCTATACTTATACCTTATCAATCTGGAATATTTCAATTAGTCTCAATTAATTTATTAACTAATAATACAAATACTACTAAATACATACTCTATGTGCTATTATTCTTCCGGTACATAATCTCCAACTTTATTGTATTGTATTTTATTTTGTATAATTGGTATTATGTTCATATTTATTACCCATCTAAATCCCCAAGTATTTTATATTTTTTTTAAAAATCAATACACATAAATACAATAGTTTTTAAGTGTAGGAATAAACTATTATGTTCATAATAGTTTTTCTACATTGCTTATGTTTTATTATCATTATTAAATTATGTATGAATATAATTTTTCTAATGATGAATTCAATCTATATATAATTAATTAATTATATGTATAATCGTTGACCGGGTTTAACAGTCGTTGACCGGGTCGACCCGCCGGGTCTGGGTTGACCCGTGACCCGATCATCTGTCCGGGTCACTCTCCGGTCCGGTTTTTACAACTTTTATTTTCTAATGAAGGGCCGTAAAAGCATTTCAAAATCCATTCATATATAAATAATCTTAGTTCTAGGGTTGAAGTGTTGAGCTGGCTGCTGGTCATTTCTACTGACTCCACCTTTCTTCTTTTTCATCTTTCTTGATCAGTAACATACTAACTGATTACTTCCTCTTGTCTCACTAAGTTTCATTCTTCAAACCAATGGTTTGAAAAACCTTTCTTAGATTTCTTGTCTACCACCAACATTCTCCTCCTCCATGCACCCTGAACCTAAACATTAAGAAATAGCAGCAGAGGAAAAAGTTAGATTAACTTGGTCAAGAAAAGAAAAATAAACTGAAGATTAAAAATACTTCATATCATATAAGACAAGGAGAAGCGGAGAACCTTTATAGTCAAATTGCACACATATTATGTTGACTAAATACATTAGACTATGAATTGAAAAGGGTTTCATATTAACAAGAAAACACTCATGTAAACAAATTTACATATGACATACATTAAGGTGCTTGTGATAAAAATTCTCTTTTCCAATTATATACAATAAAATCACAATTTATGAGCTTCACAATTTTAAAAATACATTTTAAATTTAGAACTTTCTTGTACATGATAAACTGATTGAGTATACATATGCATGGTCACTGGATTTTTGTACTTATTAGCCAGAAAACACATGAGAGGAAATGATACTATGCGCAACATAAATATCTTTAACAGGTTATTGCAACTTATGGAGTGTTTGCAAAAATTTAAAAAAAAATGATTTTCAACTTTTGGCTTTAAATCACTTTTCACTTTTTCTATTACAAATACCACTACCAACCTTTATATGTTCAAAAGTATTTTTTTCAAACAATACAAATTTTTATCATTAAAGACTTTTTCAAAAATTACTTTAAAACAACTTTGGACTTCTCTCTAGGGTTTCGCAGCCCTTAGAGCTTTTTTCCGTCTTCGGTTATACGAAGGACGGCTGGGTTTCTCCTCGGCGATCTTCATCCACGGAAATCCGCTTCCGCTGTTTGGTGGAGTCGAGCGAGATTTCGTTGTTACTTCGGTGTTGATTGCTGACCGTGAGGTCGGGCGAGAGCAGGGAAGCATTTTTTCTCTTGTCGAGGAGGAGAGGTCGACAGAAAAGCTAGAAGATGGTCGTGAGGGGTGATGTAGCTACGAGTGCGGGACGAGGAGTGTTGCAAGGACTTCGAGTAGGCCAGATTGCGTTCGACATTGGAGGATCAATTAACATGGTACCGGTGGAACGACCCCCTCCTGAACCACCACCATGGGTTGTACGAGGTGCAGAAGTCCGTGAAAGTTTTCCTAGTAATTTGTTTGAGTTTTTAGCCTCTCTTTATGTCATTGGGTATGGTTGGATCTATGAGAACATGTTTGGCTGTGTCAAGCCCACTACATGTATGGTTAGCGATTCGTGTTGCTCTTTCAGGAGTGACCGTCTCAAAGTCTGATCATAGGGTTTATAGTCGTAGTTTTTGGAGTTTAGTTGGTGTCAGGTTTATTTTCCTTTTGTTTGATGTAATGATCCTGAATCTTTTGATATGAATAGAGGCATGTTTTAATGATAAAAAAAATTACTTTAAAACCCATTTTTAAAGTAGAAGGCTATAAGCAATAAGAAACACTTTCCTAAACTTGTGAAAATTAGACATATGAATTTAGAAATCTTTGCATTCCATGTCCAAATACACAATTCATCAAGCAAAAAAATAAGCTGAATTCACTCAAATTATTATACGGAGTACTACTTGATGATTAAATACCATAAATTGCATTGTTTATTAAAAGCAGCAGCTCATTCAATTCACAGAACAACATTAAGCAATTACGTAGTGGGAGTAAGCAATAAGCATATAAGCTTAAATGAGATGTAACGGTCCTAACGGGGATCAGACGGAAAGCATAGAAACCAAAGGTTTTGACTTTAAAGGATAACATAAATAGCATAGAGTACAACTAAGTATTGCTTATGTTACACCAACACATTTTACATTCCTAAATAGCCCTAACCCTCATTCACCTTTATAAGTTTGTAGAGACATAGATTGCAAAACAGCCCTGCTTTGTGTACACACCATTGTACTCGCCAGTCAAATTGTCTGTGCATAGACAATATTACTGGTTTTTATGAAGAAAATCGATTTTCACATAGGCAAAAAAAATGTCTATATCATAGACAATTTAAATTGTCTGTGTCATAGACAATGAAGCACTTCTTTTGTACACGCCGGTCAAATTGTCTATGTCACAGATAATTTAAATTGTTTGTGATACTGACATTTTTTTTGTCTGTGTGAAAATCGATTTTCTTCATAAAACGCCGATCAAATTGTCTGTGTACAGATCGGAGGAGATCAGACAAAATATAAACAGATTGCACAACAGTCCTGCTTTGCAAATATAAACAAATTGTGTGTGTACAAACAATTTGACCAGCGTGTACAATGGCGTGTACAAACTGCCCTGTACAAAGAGCATTTTTCTTGCAAAAATATCCCGAGACAATACTACGTATATTTTTAGAAACTAATTGCCATTGCAAGATTTCTAAGCTATAATTCATAATTGATGGTTATCTCCTATTATATCTCTCGTCATTATTATGTTAAAATTTAACTATAACTCCCCTCTTCATATATGCTTCATATCCGTTATTATCATAACTTTTTCAAAATTCAAAATCTAAATCCCCTCGTGTCATCACCTTAATCCTCTCATCCTCACACAAACAAGAATTCTTACTGAGTTATTCTTATACTTTTAATATTAACATTACAGTACATAATAATACCAAAACGAGGCAGCTTCCTTTTACATTTGATGAATCTTGATCCCATAAATAGCATCAAAGATGAAGAAAGTGATGGGAAATCATTGCGGGAAAAGGAAACAGATTGCTCTGTGGAAACAGGAGATGACAGCAGTTGG